GCGATTATGTGAAGCCGGTCCTTGACAAGATCAAGGACACTTATGCGCGAATGGCAGCGGCGGGCAGCAACGTGTCGCAGTTGCAGCAGTGCACCAAGATCATCTCGGTGCTCGACAACTCGGGACAACCTCAACACTCAGCAGATCCAATGGACACATGAGTGGCTACGGCAGCAGATTCTGCAGGAGGACTTCCGCAGGCGCCAGACGGGAGGTGGTGCTACCAACAAGACTGCTGAGGGATATGGAGCATCTTGATCGCGCTCTGATTGTCGCAGAGTAATGTGAAGTGCCCGTTCATTGTTTCTTTCGCTTCCTGCAGGAGCTCTATCAGGTACAGTCCTTTGCGAACAGCTGCACTGCGGCGATGAACTCAGCTTCTGACACAAGAGCAATTAGCTCCTGCTTCTGGGAGTTCCAGGAGATGAGTCTAGCAGGTTGGAGTTGGAAAATGAATAATGTGCGGGAGCGTCTGTTGTTAATATCTCCTGCGTGGTCTGCGTCTACGTAACCATGGAGCTGTAGAGTAGCGGTTAGGTTGGCTTTGTAGATGAGTCCGACGTCAGGAGTAGAGACGAAGTATTGAAGTACTCGGCGCAGATTCAGTAGATTCTCCCCTTCAGGTCGCTTCAAGTACTGTGCGAGCTGGCTAGCGACGTAGAAGAGATCAGGCCGGCAAGTGACAGCGACGAACAGGAGACACCCCAGCTGCTGCTGATTGAGCCGATGATCTTCGATGGAGAGCAGCGTGGTGTCAGGTACATGATTAGGAGGAGGAGTGCGAAAGGGGGTGGTCAGGTTGATCGGCGCGACGGCGAATTTCTTTGCGAGTGTTTCCGCATACTTGGCGGCGGAGAGGTGAATGGAGGTGGCGGACTGGGTAAAGTTGAGGCCCAGAAACTGCGTGACATTGTGGTTGATCGTCACCTCGAGCTTCTCCTTGATATATGCCTCAAACCGGTCCAACAGCTCCGTGTCGTCGGTGATGTAGAGTAGGTCGTCGACGTAGGCGACGAGGAGACTGAACTTGCTGCGCGACTCCTTCCGGTACATCCCGAGGTCATGCGGCAGCTGAGTGAATCCGAGCTCCGTGAGGACGGTGTGTAGGTACTGCTGCCACAGTCTAGGCGCTAGTCTGATCCCATAGAGGGATTTCTGGAGAAGGCAGACGGCATCGTCGTTTTCTTTGAAACGAATGCGGCTGCTCGACGAAGATTATGGCTTCGACATGGGCGTACAGGAATGCACTGCCGACGTCGATTTGACAGAGCGGACGCTGCTTAACGGTTGCGATGCAGATGAGGATGCGCACCGAGGTATGTCTTCTGACAGGCGCGTGGGTGAGATCGAAGTGCACCATGTGAGTTTGTTCGAAGCCGCGCACCACCCATCTTACTTCGTACTTGTCAATGGAGCCATCCGCCAGTGTTTTGATGCGGAAAACCCATCTGCCGCTGAGTATTTTTCTCCCCTTCGATGATGATCGTGGAACCGGCTTCCACGTTCCGCGGCTCTTCAGCGCCGCGACTTCTGCTGCCATGGCTGCCTTCCATTTCTCACTGGCCAGACAGGGCTTGGCGAACGGTGGTGGGTTCCTTGGGGGAGGCGTGACGAACAGCGACTGCGAGCCCAAGGATGCGGAGACCAGTTTCGTTGGTCTTTTCGTAGAGAAGGTGATCGTGGTCATGGAAGCTGGTAACTTCGACGACGCTGTCGTCGCTGTCGTTGCCGAGGCGGAGGGTGTCTTGTGAGAAGTTTGGAGGTGGTAACTCGGCATCCGGAGATCGGCGCGCCTCACTGTTGTAGTCGTGGGCTTCGCGAATTGTATCGGTGGGATCGAATTGATGAACAGGTATAAAGGTCGGAGTCTGGAGTGGGCTTGTACGGGGGATGTTATGGATTTGTTGGTGTGTTGTCGGCTGCGTCAGCATCTTCTGCCAGGTCTGCTTCATCCTGTGATGTGACGAAGCTGCGATGCCCCTCGAAATCTCTTTCTGGTGCTATGTCAGCTTCGCAGTGTTCCTTGAACAATGGAAGAGTCAGCTTCTTGTAGAAAATGCAGTCACGTGATTTCGTCACTTCGTGTGTTGCGTAGTCCAGCACGATCCACGCCTTGTATTCCTTTTTTATCTCGAGGTGGATGCCCCATTGTGCCCGGTCAGCAAACTTTTCGGTCCTTGTTGTGTGTGGCCTATACTGAACCATGCAGCTGAACACTCGAAGAAGACATGTGTCCCCTTTTCCGCCCGTCCAAGCCTTGTAGGGAGAGTTCTTGTTCTCGAGGCTTTGGGAGGACAGCAAGTTGTGCAGCCGAACAGCGTGATTCATCGCAAACGACCAATACTTGGTTTTGGATGGCCGACTGCTTCATCAGGTCCCTCATCCTTGTGGCGAGGCTCCTGTTTGTCCGTTCTGCTACTCCTTGCTGCTCGTGAGCGTAGGGCAGGGAAACCAGGTGCTCAATCCCCTTCTTGGTGAAGAGTTCCTTGAACTCAGTTGAGAAGAATTCTGCTCCACCATCTGTCTGGTATCTTTTCAGTTTTAATCCGAATTGTCGTTCAGCCCGCTTCATCCAAGCCACAAAGCATTTGAAGGTAAGGGAGCGACGGTCGGTGTTGACAGCCCAGACGTAGCGTGTGCAAGCGTCGATGAAGGTTAGTGTGTAATATTCGCCGTCAAGTCCTTCTTGGTTGAGAATCATGAAGTCGCTGTAGACCTTGTCAAGTGGCTCGTAGCGTTCATAGCCAGGAGGTAAGTCGGGGAAGGGTTTGTGGGCGAGCGACGCGGTGGGGCAGATGATGCACGGCGGGTCGGCTGAGCCTGTTGTGAGGGAACTTCCTCGAGGAAGAAGCAGCGCGTCTTCGTCAAAGACTCCGGCCTTGAGGGAGTTTTTGAGAGTGACGTGAGAGGGATGTCCGAGTCGCTGATTGCAGGCAAAGCACGCTAAAGCATCATTGCAGGTTGACTACATCCCTCCACTCACCCCGAGCCATCGTCCCTCAGGGCAGGAAGCCCCTCGCCTTCCAGATTGCATTGAGCGGTGCTCAATGCCACCTGCAGGGTACTCCAGATTTTGCTGAGCGGTGCGCACTGCCCCCTGCACGGTACTCCAGATTGCACTGAGCGGTGCGCACTGCCCCCTGCACGGTACTCCAGATTGCACTGAGCGGTGCGCACTGCCCCCTGCACGGTACTCCAGATTGCACTGAGCGGTGCGCACTGCCCCCTGCACGGTACTCCAGATTGCACTGAGCGGTGCGCACTGCCCCCTGCACGGTACTCCAGATTGCACTGAGCGGTGCGCACTGCCCCCTGCACGGTACTCCAGATTGCACTGAGCGGTGCGCACTGCCCCCTGCACGGTACTCCAGATTGCACTGAGCGGTGCGCACTGCCCCCTGCACGGTACTCCAGATTGCACTGAGCGGTGCGCACTGCCCCCTGCACGGTACTCCAGATTGCACTGAGCGGTGCGCACTGCCCCCTGCACGGTACTCCAGATTGCACTGAGCGGTGCGCACTGCCCCCTGCACGGTACTCCAGATTGCACTGAGCGGTGCGCACTGCCCCCTGCACGGTACTCCAGATTGCACTGAGCGGTGCGCACTGCCCCCTGCACGGTACTCCAGATTGCACTGAGCGGTGCGCACTGCCCCCTGCACGGTACTCCAGATTGCACTGAGCGGTGCGCACTGCCCCCTGCACGGTACTCCAGATTGCACTGAGCGGTGCGCACTGCCCCCTGCACGGTACTCCAGATTGCACTGAGCGGTGCGCACTGCCCCCTGCACGGTACTCCAGATTGCACTGAGCGGTGCGCACTGCCCCCTGCACGGTACTCCAGATTGCACTGAGCGGTGCGCACTGCCCCCTGCACGGTACTCCAGATTGCACTGAGCGGTGCGCACTGCCCCCTGCACGGTACTCCAGATTGCACTGAGCGGTGCGCACTGCCCCCTGCACGGTACTCCAGATTGCACTGAGCGGTGCGCACTGCCCCCTGCACGGTACTCCAGATTGCACTGAGCGGTGCGCACTGCCCCCTGCACGGTACTCCAGATTGCACTGAGCGGTGCGCACTGCCCCCTGCACGGTACTCCAGATTGCACTGAGCGGTGCGCACTGCCCCCTGCACGGTACTCCAGATTGCACTGAGCGGTGCGCACTGCCCCCTGCACGGTACTCCAGATTGCACTGAGCGGTGCGCACTGCCCCCTGCACGGTACTCCAGATTGCACTGAGCGGTGCGCACTGCCCCCTGCACGGTACTCCAGATTGCACTGAGCGGTGCGCACTGCCCCCAACTCTGGCGTGTTGACTTGACACACCAAGGCATGTCTGTCTGTCTGTGCGTTGCACTGCTTGTTCTGTAAGCCTCCATTCACCACGAGCCGTCGTCCCTCTGAATATCCACCAGGAAGCCCCGTGCTTTCCAGATGGCCTGCTCGATGTCACCTCAGTTGTACCCCGACATGCTGACACAGCCGGGCATGTCTGTGCATTGCGTTGCATGATCATGTGCAATCTATGTTTCTATAAGCCTCCACTCACCACGACCCATCGTCCTTCTGGATATTCACAAGGAAGCCGCGCGCCTTCCAGATGGCCTGCTCGATGCCATCTGCACGGTACTCTGGGTGCGCCCTCGTGAACGCTGTGAGGGCCTAGATGGATGCTGACGTGCACTCCACGTAGCTGGGGAGGAAGCACAGCCATGGAGAGAGGGGCAACAGCAGGAAGGGGGGTTAGTCTCGCTGTCATGCCATCTGCACGGTACTCTGGGTGCGCCCTCGTGAATGCTGTGAGGGCCTGGATGGATGCTGATGTGCACTCTACATAGCTGTAGAAGGGTGGAAGTGGTGAAGACAAGGGCAGCAGGATGGAAAGAAGGAAAGAGACTGGGTTGGGGTGTCATTAGCCCGGTGAATGCGCTCTTGTGAACTCTGGATGAATGCTGATGTGCACTCCACGTAGCTGGGAAAAGGAGAGGAGGTGTGGAGTTAAGGGGAAGGGCAGAAAAGGGAGAAGAGATGGGAGCAGGAATTAGGGTGGTCGGGTTGGGATGTCATGAGCCCGCTACTTCTGCATGCTCTTGAGAACGCTGTGAGGGCCTGGACGGATGCACGCGAGCACTGCACGTAGCTGGGAGGGGCGGGAGTTGTGAAGATAAGGGCAATAGGAAGCACGGAAGGGAGAGCGTTGAGTGTGCTCTCGGAAACGCTGTGAGGTCCTGGACGGATGCACATGCACATGCTCACTCCACGTAGCTGGGAGGAAGGAAGCTTAGAAGATGAGGGGTAAGGGGAGATCAGGAAGGGGACGAAAGCGTGTTAAGATGCTATCTGCTCAGTTCTCCAGGTGCGGTTCTAACAGTTTCAATGGGTTCCAGAATGTGCCAGATTCTTAGGGTGAGTGTGCGCGCGCTTGCCCAGAATCAGTCTGGCTCACTCATTCATAAACAACCTTGCCATGGAACCAGATGCCAAGCAGCATAGGGCTGGACAAAAGTCAATGGTAAATAACCATATGGCGGAGGTGGATGGTAAATAACCATATGGTGGAGGAGGATGGTAATGCTGGACAATAATTACACAAACAGTTACTAAGAACATGTAGATTGGACGCAATACTACTCACGAGTAGTCGATAATGATGTTTCCAACGGTCTCAGAGGGATTTAGGATCTGAAAAGGGGAACACGGGAGGAATAAGGAGGATGAACATGTGAGTGCAGAGGTCTCTAATTTACACTTCCACATAGAAGGGGGGACGGCAGGGGGAGGAAGACGAAGCAAGTTTTAAACACTGTTACGTGGCTAGGTTCAGCTCAGGGTTAACGCAAATATGAAAGTACTAATACATGCAGCGAGCTCACATGAGGCAGCGAGCTCACTTAAGCAACGACCACACATGAGGCAGAGAGCTCACTTACCAACGAGCTCACATGAGGCAGCGAGCTCACTTAAGCAACTAGCACACATGAGGCAGAGAGCTCACTTAAGCAACTAGCACACATGAGGCAGAGAGCTCACTTAAGCAACGAGCACACATGAGGCAGCGAGCTCACTTAAGCAACGAGCACACATGAGGCAGAGAGCTCACTTAAGCAACGAGCACACATGAGGCAGAGAGCTCACTTAAGCAACGAGCACACATGAGGCAGCGAGCTCACTTAAGCAACGAGCACACATGAGGCAGCGAGCTCACTTAAGCAATGAGCACACATGAGGCAGCAAGCTCACTTAAGCAACGAGCACACATGAGGCAGAGAGCTCACTTAAGCAACGAGCAGACATGAGGCAGCGAGCTCACTTAAGCAACTAGCACACATGAGGCAGAGAGCTCACTTAAGCAACGAGCACACATGAGGCAGCGAGCTCACTTAAGCAACGAGCACACATGAGGCAGAGAGCTCACTTAAGCAACGAGCACACATGAGGCAGAGAGCTCACTTAAGCAACGAGCACACATGAGGCAGCGAGCTCACTTAAGCAACGAGCACACATGAGGCAGAGAGCTCACTTAAGCAACGAGCACACATGAAGCAGAGAGCTCACTTAAGCAACGAGCACACATGAGGCTGTGATCTCACCTCAAGCCAGGGGTAGGAGCGTGTGTTCTCATATGTGGCCATGCCCCCGTCCTTGTTCTGTTGGGGGGAAGGAGGTGGGGGGAAGGGAGATGGGGAGTGGCGAGAGGAGAGGGGAGAGAAGGATTTCCAAAAAGAATGATGATTCAGGGACTGGATGGCAGGAGGGATAACAGCATCATGCATCTGGCCATGCTGCCATGCCATGCCACTGCCCTTGTGCTGCCACGCAAAGGCACGGGTGGGCATTGAAGCGGCACACCCGCAGGCTCCGGCGGACCCCTGGCCCCTGCAGCTAGGGGACCTCCTCCACACCCTGGTAAGGGAGGGTGCTAGGGGGCGGGTAGATGTAGAGAGGTGTATTTGCATGTTCAACCTTCTGCTCTCCGTTGACCTTCTTGCTTGTACCAATCAACGTATTAATACAAAGGACCGTTCGGAGGAAAAAGCGGAGGGGAGAGATGAGATTTGATGTTCCCAGGGATGAGAATAAAGGAAGGGGATCGCTGGAGGGTGGGAGTTGGTGGTCTCATATTCGCATGCGCACGGGGCACGGGGAAAGGGGTACAGGGCACAGGGGTACAGGGGTACAGGGGCACAGAGCACAGGGCACAGGGCACAGGGCACAGGGCAGCACCGACCTGGTAGGAGAGAATGACGTCATCACTGACTGACCTGGTAGGAGAGAATGACGTCACCACTGACTGACCTGGTAGGAGAGAATGACGTCATTACTGACTGACCTGGTAGGAGAGAATGACGTCATCACTGACTGACCTGGTAGGAGAGAATGACGTCACCACTGACTGACCTGGTAGGAGAGAATGACGTCATTACTGACTGACCTGGTAGGAGAGAATGACGTCATCACTGACTGACCTGGTAGGAGAGAATGACGTCACCACTGACAGACCTGGTAGGAGAGAATGACGTCACCACTGACTGACCTGGTAGGAGAGAATGACATCATCACTGACTTGGTAGGAGAGAATGACGTCACCACTGACTGACCTGGTAGGAGAGAATGACATCACCACTGACTGACCTGGTAGGAGAGAATGACGTCATTACTGACTGACCTGGTAGGAGAGAATGACGTCATCACTGACCTGGTAGGAGAGAATGACGTCACCACTGACCTGGTAGGAGAGAATGACGTCATAACTGACTGACCTGGTAGGAGAGAATGACGTCACCACTGACTGACCTGGTAGGAGAGAATGACGTCCACACAGTCGCACAACCGCCGCTCGGGAATGGCCTCGCCCACCAGGTGGGGCGGAAGGGCCTCCAAGATGAGCGATGCCTGGTGGTGGGAGGTGGCAGGTGGGAGGTGGGAGGTGGCAGGTGGGATGTGGGAGGTGAGGAGGTGGGAGGTGGGAGGTGAGGAGGTGAGGAGGTGAGGAGGTGAGGAGGTGAGGAGGTGAGGAGGTGGGAGGTGAGGAGGAACAGGGAGAGAAACATAGGTCTTAGGGGCGATCCCCACATTCCTTCGTCGCCCACCAGGTGGGGAGGGAGGGCCTCCAAGATGAGTGATGATGCCTTATGGGTGCGAGGTGAGCAATGAGGTGAGGGTAAGAGAGGCTACCAACAAACAAGGGAGACAAATATGGCATGCATATTGATGGATATAATGCACTTGTTAAGCATGGCACGTATATCGATTGATACATGAAGTGCAATAATACATGTAGTGCGATATTTATACATGTCTTGGATAATGAATGCGACGTAAAATGTCATCTCCTACATGATGAATCAAGCACACACATTTTCAGCATTACATACTCCTTATAAGCACACTCACTTTGAGCCCCTCGGACGAGCAGTCACTGATGGGCCAGCCGTGGTCTCGAGTTGAGAAGGGCCAGGCGCCCCTGGAGATGTGGCGGTACCACGCTGATAGCTTGCCGGGGCAGTCCTCCTGCACCTGGTTGGCTGGTTGCATGGCAGCAGCGGTAGCGGTAAGGGAAAGAGGAGAAGAGAGATGAATGGAAAGTGGAGATGGGCGGAGCGCCAATAGAGATGTGGTGGAACCACACTGATAGCTTGCTGGGGCAGTCCTCCTGGACCTGGTGAGGGAGAGAGGACAGAGGAGAAAGAAGATGATGCATATGGAGGTGGGTAGAGGGGTCACGGGGTTCCCTGGAGATGTGGCAGGGCAAGAGTTTCAAGATATACCTCGCAGATAAAGATGCTAAAGATTCAGGACTGGAAGGATGCTAACAGATGGGATGGGGCCTCGCAGCTTACTTGGGAGCGTTCGAGGTACGATTTTGCAAGACCTACCCTCTGTGGTACGACGCGTGGATGAGCAAGCTAAGCTTAACCTCTTTGGTACGCATGGGTGCTCAAGATTACTTGGGAGCGTTCGAGGTACGATTTTGCAAGACCTACCCTCTGTGGTACGACGCGTGGATGAGCAAGCTAAGCTTAACCTCTTTGGTACGCATGGGTGCTCAAGCTTACTTGGGAGCGTTCGAGGTAGGAGTGAGCGATTTTGAGGGCGCGGTGGGTTTCATCCATCATGTGGGCGGCATGCAGCGCCTGCACTGCAAAGGCCGTGTCCCACAGCTGACTGCCGTTGTACCCCTGATTGGGGTTTGGGGTTTAGGGGAGGTACGTACGGTTTTAGAGTGGAGGGTTTGGATGGAGCATAAGGAATGTTTGGTGGATAAACATTTGGGTTTCTTTCATCATGTGCGCAGCATGCAGTGCACAGCAAAGGCTGGGTCCCACATCAGGGTTTGGGGAAAATGGGGGTTTTGGGATCAGGCGAGTGGAGAATTTAAGGTTGGCAATACATTGTAAGGTCTTGAAATTCATACACGTGATGCAGTCACACCTCATGCAGTTACACACCACACCCCATAAAGTCGAACCCCAAACAGCCACACCCCATGCAGCCACAAAATACGCGACCACACAGGCCCACCTGCATCTTCATGCCATCCTCGGCCAGCCATAGGTAATCCGCCACGCGTGCCAGGTGCTTCTTGTGGTTACCACACCTCGCAAGCCACCATCCATACAGCCACATCTCATACAGCCACACACACACCCCAGCCCCACCTGCATCTTCATCCCATCCTCGGCCAGCCAGAGGTAATCCGGCACGCGTGGCAGGTGCTTCTTGAACGCCTCGCTGTTGGGATCCTCCACCCAGCAGCACAGCATGTTGATCACCTGCGAGAGGGGAGGGGTGAGGAGTAGTGGGGAGGAGTGGGAGCATAAGAGGGATGAATTAGCCAGACTGCACTGTATCTGAATGCTGCACTGTTGGGATCTTCCACCCAGCAGCACAGCATGTTGATCACCTGCGAGAGGGGAGGGGTGCGGAGTAGTGGGGAGGAGTGGGAGCATAAGAGGGATGAATTAGCCAGACTGCACTGTATCTGAATGCTGCACTGTTGGGATCTTCCACCCAGCAGCACAGCATGTTGATCACGTGGGAGGGGAAGGGGGGGAGGGGGGGGAAGGGGAAGGGAGGGGAGGAGTGGGGAGGAGTGGGGAGGAGTGGGCGCATAAATGGGATGAGCTTGTCAGGCTGGGGAGGAGTTTACACATAAAGGAGAGGGGAGGGGGAAAAAGGAACAGGACGGGAAAAGCAAGAGGAGCGCCAGGAGAGGAAGGGCGGAAAGTATCAAGCTTGTCAGGCTGCTCGCTTGACAAGCTTGATACTAAGTAGCTCTGTTGGATCTAGGTCGAGACTATTTTCCTCTGCTCGCTTGAAAGCCTCGCTGTTGGGTCCACCTGGAAGAAGGGGGGGGGGGGGGGGGTGTAACGAGGGGTGCGGGGGAAAGAGGAGAGAAAGGTGAGGAGAAAAGGAGCAGGGTAAGAGAGGAGGGCGGATTAATGAGAAGGGTCTGCTGGTGGGTCTTTCACCCAGCAGCACAGCATGTTGATCACCTGCGAGGGAGGAGGGGAGAAGGGGGGGAAAGGGGAGGAGCGGGGAGGGAAGGGGAGGGGAGGGGGACGGGATGGGAGGGGAGGGGAAGGGAGGGAAGGGGTGGGGAGGGGAGGGGAGGGGAGGGGAGGGGAGGGGAGGGGAGGGGAGGGGAGGGGAGGGGAGGGGAGGGGAATCGAGACGACACACTTGCAGCAGCAGCATAGAGCAGCAGAGGAGGGATGGAATGGGCAGTAGAGGACTGATCTACTGAAGTCTAGTTGTGAGACGGCCTTGACATTTGAGGAGAGGGAGGGGGACGGACGGAGGAAGGCTAGAGGGTTCGGCAGGCGTGGTTGGTTGGTTGGTTGGTTGGTTGGTTGTGTGCCATGCCATGAAGTGGTCGGTCTGCATGCTGGTGCCCGCCCGCCCTGCACTCTGCTGGCCATTGAGTCCACTCAAAAGTCACCCCGTGCTGGTGCCTGCCCGCCCTGCACTCTGCTGGCCAGCAATGGCTAGGTTGGTTGCTTGGCAGCCAGAGCAGGGGTCAATCAAGGTGGCAGGACGATGGGAGGTGGAGGGGTCATCTAGCCCATGTCAGGCTCGTGCTTCCTTGAGATTTTCAAACAAGCAATGGAGGAATTTGAGACGTCTCAAAACCCTTCTTCAATCACGAGGAAGGACGTGCAGGAGGTGGGTGAAAGGGTGGGAGCGACGGGTGGGGAGAAGGGGGAAGAGGTAGGAGGGAGAGGGGGGGGAAGGGGGAAGAGGTAGGAGGGAGGGGGGGGGGGGGAGGGGGACAAGTGGGTGGGGGACTTTGATGTGAGCTGGATGATTACTTGTATTGCTGGAAACACACATCCTTGTTCTCGTTCACCTTATTAACCGGCCCGATGGGGCGTCCCCACAGGCAGTCCTGAATAAAGGGGTGCGGGAAGTACAGGTCCTCCTGGGGTATGGGGGGGGAGGGGAGGAGGGGAGGAGAGCAGGAAGGGAGGAGAGGAGGACAGGGGGAGAGGAGGGGAGGAGGGGAGGAGGGGACGAGGGGAGGAGAGTAGGAGGGAAGGAGGGAAGGAGGGAAGGAGGGGAGGGGGGGAGGAGGGGAGGACGGGAGGACAAGAGGAGGGGAGGAGGAGGGGAGGAGAACGGGAGGAGAGGAGGAGAGGAGGAGGGGAGGAGGGAAGGAGGGATGGAGGGAAGGGGGGGAGGAGGGAAGGAGGGGAGGAGGGGAGGAGGGGAGGAGGGAAGGAGGGGAGGAGGGGAGGAGGGAAGGAGGGGAGGGATGGAAGTGGGCATTTTGGAGGCAGCTTCAAGTAGAACGGTGTGGGGAGGGAAGTGGGACGAGCAAAAAGGGGGAAGACATGAACGGGCTTGAGGGGAGCTTTGTTCCCGAGAACAATAGAACAGATCACCAACTGAATTTCAAGACGCATCGAATCTCGATCCATGCCCAAATGAAGAGCATGTCAATAACCGAATACGGAGAACGGGCACCTCATATTCAATTCAGTCGACATGACAGAAGCATACAAGCATACAGACTGTTACAGATCGCATCTCACAGTAAGGAAAAACGCTCACCTTGGCACATCGGCGCCTCATGTCGTTCCAGTTGATGGACTCGTACGGCTCGTTATAGAGTTCCTCGCTAAGAGCCGCAACAAGGGGCGTGTCGGTGGGGCCGTGGGCTCTCAAGCCGTAGATGTAGCACATGGGTAGGTACATCATGCGACAGTGGCACCACATGCGACCTGGGACGGGGAATGGAGAGGGATGGAGAGGGGTAGGAAGTGAGGCTTTCAACCTTAGATAGCACATGGGCAGGTACACAATGTGACAATAGCACCACATGCGCCCAGGGAAGAGGGACGCAAGGAGAGGGAAGAGGAAGACGTACCGGGGTGTACGGGGAGGAAGTAGGGCAGCAGCCACATTTCAGGCGGCATAAGGTTGATGCCTCTGTAGTCATACACGCCTAGCACCTGCCCATTGCAGCAACGGAGCATGCATGAGGGGATATGTGGGGGAAGGTTGAGTGCTTAGAGGTGCTCGGAAGCTTTTAGGCGGCATGGGGTTGATGCCTCTGTTGTCGTACACGCCCAGCACCTGCCCATCACAGCAATGGTGGATGGGTTGCGAGGCCTGAAAGCACGTAATTTCCTAGCGGGCTCACGCTGCACGCAGAGCCAGAATTTGCCCCGCATCGTGCTGGCAGTGGCACCCGCGTGGCTTCAGGTAGGGCAGACCAAGCCATGAAGCTCACGCATGTTCAAGCATTGCAAAAATTGATTACATAATCTGTGTTTTGAGTCAACTCAAATCACATGCTGGGGCCCGCGTGGCTTTAGGCAGGGTAGTGCAGACCATGCCATGAAGCTCACGCATGTACAAGCCATGCAAACATGATTACATACTGCAAGGACTCACGCAGAGCCAGAATTTGCCCCAGGATGTGCTGGCAGTGGTGCTGCCGTGCGACGGGATTCACTCGCGGCCAGCTGTCATGGCGGGATTGGCGGGGTGCTCCCCGAGGATGCGCAGGGAGACGTAGTTGAGGGTCGAGCCGAACATGGTGCTGTGGCCCTCTATGTGCAGCCCCCACCCGCCGTCCGGGTTCTGGGGGAGGGTGGGAGGGGGTAAAAGGTGGGGGATAGGGGGGGTGGAGGGTAGAGGATAGAGAGGTAGAGGAGGGGCGAAGTTTGTACACAAGAGATGGAGACTCAGGAGGAGGTTGACCCGAACACGGTGCTGTGACCCTCTTTCCCCCAAACGCTAAACCATGCAATCGGGCTACCATGAAACCCCCTTGTTCGGAATCCCTTCTTCCCTATCCATCCCATTCACCACACACCCACGTGGTTGTAGAGGTACCGCACCATCTGCCTCTTGTGCTCTGCTGTCATCATGCACAGCCTCATCACCCCACCTCATTCTGCTCCCTAAGTATCGCATGCGACTCTCACCTGGTGGTTGTAGAGGTACCCCACCATCTCCCTCTTGTGCTCTGCTGTGAGCACTCAGAGGCCCATCGCCCTGCAACATTCACAGCCCCATCACCCCACCCCACCCACAGCATTGTAAATCATGTGAAACGCCCACCTGGTGGTTGTAGAAGTATCGCACCATCTCCCTCCGGTGCTCTGCTGTCAGCACCTGGTCCAGGGCGCCCGTCACATGCAGCGTGATCAGTTGAGAGGTGAAGAAGAGGCAAGGGGGAGAAGGGGAAAGGGGGGAAAGCTCCTTTGAGTTTGCTGCTACAAAGACTTGTGTGCACAGCCACAGAAGAGAGACCCTTCTGCTCGGCTGTCAGCACCGGGTCCAGGGCGCCCATCACATGCAGCGTGATCAGCTGAGAGGTGCAGAACAGCCAGGGGGGAGAGGGGAAAAGAGGGAAAATGCTGCTTCATGTGCACTTTGCTGTCAGCACCTGGTCCAGTGCGCCTGTCACATGCAGGGGGGTCAGGTGAAGGGGGGTTGGGATGGGAGGGCTCAGCAGAGGGAAGAGGAACGGGGAAAGGACAGGCTCTGTTCCGCTTCATTCAGGGGACCCGCACGCTCTACTGTTGCACACCACCTGGAACAGGTTTGCGAGCTCTGCTGCCAGCACCTGGTGGTGCAGGGCGGGCGCACGTTACAGCAGGAATTCGCAGAAATTCACGTCCCCCAATGCCAGGCAGGCCCTGCCTCTCTTCCCCACTGACCAATGGCAGGCCCGCGCGCACAAATATAAAAACACCTCTTCTCACTCACCAGACCCGGCATGAGGAAGAGAGGGCCGCCATAGCCCCCCGCCCAGTGCCCATCCTCCGCCTGAATCGTCTCATAGAAGCGCACGGCCCTCCTTAGAGTCACCTCCACTGCCTCCTCCTCCATGGCTGTGGCTGTGGCTGTGGACACGGGCTCTTCGGTTACTCGCACTTGAGGGGGCTGATTGGCCGGGGGCTTGCCTCCAGTGAGCTGGGATGGGCGGAAAGGGGCGGGAGGGGGAGGGTAGGTAGGAGAGAGCAGAAGCGAGGAGGGATGAGGTGAGAACCAGAACATCCACTGTTGCCTCATCCACGACTGTGGCTGTGGACACGGGCTCTTCAGTTACTCGCACAGGGGGAGGTTGATTGGCCGGGGGCTTGCCTCCTGTGAGCTGGGGTGGGAGGAAAGGGGAGGGTGGGGCGGGAACGTGAAAGCAGGTGGGGGCAGAAGCGGGGAGGGACGAGGTGAGGCCTGCAGCAGCATTGTCTGCAGCATCAGCAGGTGCCGTGAGGGGGAGTCTGACTGACAGACAGACGCACGAGGAGGGGAAAAAAGGGGGCTGACAGACAGACGTGAGGTGGCCGTTGTTCAGTTCAGTGTGTTGAGGTCGATCCAAAGTGGTACACTGCAAGAGAGAACCGTGTGGAGAAGAACCCCAGAGAGCTGTATGTGACATACAGAAGACTAGCGTGGTGGTGTGAGTAGTTCGTCATAGCCACATTCGGTAAAGGTTACAATCACATCACTTGCAGACCCATAAGTATATCGCTGCCACATTTCCGCTCGTGCCTGTGCCGCAACTTCCAAATATTCATTACAGTCACATTCGCTACAGCACAATCACCTGTACAGGCGCATGAGCGCATCGCTGTTGTGCCTCCTCTCATGCCTGTGCCTCGTAAATTCCTCATTATGGTGAGACTCGTCTCGTTACAAACACCAACCTGCAACCTCATGAGCGCATCGCTGCTGTGCTTCCTCTCTTGCCTATTCCTCGTGAACTCCTCCCTAAGCCTCTCCACCTCTTGCCTCTCCTCCTTCGTCCCTGCTGCCGGATCAAACTCCCAAGTCTGCATGATGGGGAAGAGGAAGTATAGAGGGTGATGAGAAAGAAGCCAAGGAAACCTGCACTGTTGCTGCGCACTCATTGCTACACAGCACAGTCCGCTTCCCATGGTTCGAGTGGCCGCATCGCCTTTACTGACAGGCATGGACGGATGGAGGGGAGCAGACAGAGAGGATATTGGGAGGAAGAGCCATAGAGCAGTAGAGCAAGAGTTTTCTTGGCGGTGGGACTCACTCCTGTCATATTCTGTTGTCTGTGCCTTGATGCTGACTCAGCATGTCACACATCCCATTGTCGCATTCCCGTCTCCCATCTCCTAATCCGGTCATTGTGATTGCATCTACCCCACATCACCGTTCTCCTTGATAATCCCCGCTTAAATGCACTTCAGAAATCAGATTCACTCATAGCACCGTCCTCCCTGATGTACAACATCGATTTGATGCGTTGTGAGACATGCATTTTCGTTGGATTCAACGTTGGTGGAACGCTGATAAGATTTCAAGCAGTTGCGTGTACATCCTGGTGAGCGATTCCTAGTAAGCGGTCGCACGATTAGCTTAGGTCGCACGCTGATGACGTTTTGGGTCGCTTGAGTCGCTCAGGTTGCAAGGGTGTAGTGCGGGCTACCCATCTCTTGACACGTTCATTGTCGCACATGATGCTCGGCCGTCTAGCGTCGCAACTACCGTCGCACTCGTCGCCTGGCCGTCTACGGTCGCACCTGTCGCCCGGGGAAGTCGCTGACGCTCGTAAGAAACGGACTGTCTCCTGTCGCCACGCGAAGTCGCCACATTGCGACAGAGTCGCACACAGATTCACTGCTGAAGGCGAAACTCGCTTACATATAACTTATAATAGCGTGTTCGAAGTACTGCACCAGTTCGACGTCGAAGTATGTCGGTGAATCCTGACGGTTGGAACCGTAGATCGGATGGTTGACATTCACCGACATCCCTCGACGTCGAGAAATGCAGGTACTTCGAACATGCTTTAACTACAAAAGCGCGTGGAGGATTTCCAGATATTGAGTCTGCTCTGACGAGCCACGGTAGAATCTGACCGTTGGTCGGTGGTCGAGGGACTAGGAAGTTGAGTGCGGTAGGAAGCAGCGTGTTCATTGTTCCTTCGGGGGGTGTCATACTCAGGACGGTTCCATTCGGTGTAGAATGGTTTTTCAATCTCACCATTTTGAACCGTGACAAAACAAATTAGACCACTGCGAAGAACGTAAAGAAACGTACCAGTTGCACCCCCTCAACACGCTTCAAAATGTAGACCCGTTTTGAATCGCAATAAAACGAAGCAAACCACGACACATGCTCGACATGATCTTCTAGAACCTCTCAGGCTGCTCGATATGAACATGGGTCGCTAACAGCATATGGATATGTCTAGAACATGGGAACAAACGCACCTCATAATGTGAGTGTAATAGTTGGGATTCGTCATGCAGGGAAGCATGGGAATATCCAAATGCGAGAACCTCGTCAGCCTAGCAAGGTCGGAATAGACTTATCTAACGAGGATACTACTAGCATCCTCGTTGAATAGATGAGTCCAAAGTAACCGATCATCGAGGCGCCATGCGACGATGAGACGCTAGGTGGCTACATGTGCAGTTCGCACTCCCTCCCGAGTCGCCGTTCTCTTTCCTAGGAATAAGTAATCCTCCCAGATTCTTCTTGAATTTCTCTTCTCGAGTCTATATATTGATCTCTTCTCCTGGCATCTCCAAACCACTCTTTGGATCAGAATCCTGTCCTAGCTCTCTTACGCTGCGACTATTCGCACCGTCACGATGGCGACGTCGGCCAGCCGCGCGGAGCGTGAGAGCACCGTAGCCTCGTTTCAGTCAGCCATGGCGAATGTGGAGGCCGCTCAAGCCGTAACGCTCGATCCGACATATAGCGATCCCTTTTCCCGCTTTTCCGACGATCTTCTTGGCTCCGTTCTTCTCCTGGCTGTGTCGAAGGGCACCAGATTCGACGGTGGCGATGCAGCTGTCAGCAACGAGGATAGTTTGCAGAAGTTGATCGAGACTGCCTTGAACGAGCCCCTTCCGAGCGAGAGCGCGTGCTTCGGCATGCCGGAGGCTCCTGTTGCCATGGCTTCGTCGTTTATATCCTTCCGCCACGCTCTCGTGTGCAAGCGATGGCTGCGCGTCGCCAGATCCGTGCATCCCGCCATCATCATCCCTCGCAGCCGATTCTTCTCCGCAGAAACTCTTGCGTCCCTAGGGTTTTCCACAGTCCGTAGCAGCCATGGAGTCTCTCACTCGTCTCGTTCTTGGCAAGTGTGGTCTTAGTGTGCTGCCCGAAGACTTCGGGCAGCTTACAAGTTTGGTTTCACTGAAAATGACCTGTAGCCGGCTTGAGAGTCTGCCGAGTTCTTTCGAGGAGCTGCGGAACCTGAAGGAGCTGATTCTATTGGAATGCTACAACCTACGAGTTCTCCCCTCCTCCTTTTCCAACCTCTCTTCTCTCGAAACGCTACTCATCTACGGGGGGGGCTCTCTGCAATCTCTCCCTCAGTGTTTTGAGCATCTCCCGAAGCTGCGTAGACTAGAGCTGTTCAACTGCGCCGTTCAACGGCTACCAGCGGGATTTGGGAAGCTGGCAAACCTGGAGATTCTCAAGGTTGGAACAAAGGAGGTTTACGACAGGCACGGGCTCAGTGAGAACGAATGGCTGCATGATTACGTGGATCTCTTTGGGTCTTGCTCGCTGAGCGCTCTGCCACAATCGCTTACTCTCCTCACCCGTCTGGAGCAGCTGGTTATTGACGGATGTAAATCGCTTGATCATTCGCCAGTAGGGATGGGCAATCTGTCCAGCCTTAAGGTGCTCAAGGTGAAGAACTGCGGCCAGTTGTCCTACTTAGCCTCGCTCTTAACCCCTCGCATGCAGGCCCTTGCCCTTCAGGCTGGACGTGCATGCACATCAGCTTCTCTTGCTGCAGCTTCTGATCCTCCTTTCCCTTCCCTTGAGAAATTGGATATTTCTGGCTGCCCTCGTCTGGAAAGCCTCCCAGAAGGCCTGCAAATGCTGCCTAAGCTTGAGCACTTGACACTCAAAGACTGTCCCAGCATGGTGCTTGCAGAATGGACCCCATTCCCGTCTCTTCCGCCCTTTCCGCTCTCTGTCACGACCATCATAATCTCCAACACCTTCCAGAACGCCAAGTGCCTCCCAAAGTCCTTCCTTTCCCTCAGCCGCCTCCGTCACTTGGACCTACGCCACCTCCGATTGGATGAACAGCTCATAGCCCCTTCTGCTGTTACTGATGCCCTTGCTCGAACACAAGGCGCAGGGAAAGCAGGTTTACCTCGTGCTCCGCCTGGCCATGCTAGTTTGAACCTTCTGTCATCTCTGGTCCACCTCAGCGTTTCCAACAGTTACCACCTCCCTGCACTGCCGGGTAATTTGGACGAGCTCAGAGAACTGAAGATGCTCATACTAGACAAGTGCTACCTCATCTCCTCCCTTCCACCTGCCCTGTGCAATCTCTCCAAGCTTGAACAGCTCAGTCTCGACTCGCTCCCTCTAACGCATCTTCCGGACAATCTTGGACAGCTCACAGCTCTCGTCAAGTTGACTCTGCAGTCGTGCAAGTCCCTGCAAGGGCTGCCCTCCTCCCTCACTCTGCCCTCATCCCTCAGACTAATGACCATTGCCAACTGCCCCAGAATCAGCAGCCTCCCAGACTCTGTCTCCTGCCTCTCGCATCTCACCTCACTGGAGCTCAGAAGTCTGCATGGTCTGTATCACCTGCCCTCCTCCCTCGCCCTCCTCCCATCGCTCGTCAAGCTCTCACTCCAAGGCTGCAAGTGGCTGCAAGCTTTGCCCGACGGTCTGGGCAGTTTGTCCTGTCTGAGGGAGGTGGAACTGGGTGGATGCGCCCAACTGACTGAACTACCGCAGTCGCTGCAGAAGAGGAATGTGATTGAAGTGAGAGGCAGATGGGGCAGGCGCAGAGGGCAGAGGCAGCCGCATCAGGGGGAAGCTGTTTACTAGGGGGAGAAGGTCAAGCTTCAAGGTTGGTTTAGAAGAGGATGAGTGCCTCGCCTCCACAGTGGAAACGTTCAGGAATGCTTTTCATTAGATGATGTCGTTCTTGTCCTGATCAGCACTGGAATTTTCCATTTTATGACTTTATTCATGTAGTATACCGGTACTACCGGTACTTGTATCTTATACCGGTAGATGATACGGTAGGATGGACGAGTTGGTGTCCCAATTAAACTCGAGAATGTGACCCAAGTGAAGTGACTCAACACCATGCTTCAATACTTGTGCAAAACATGTTTAAGCACAACCCTCTACCGTATTATGTGGACTCTGATGGAGTTTGCAGTCAGGAGCTACAAACATTCATTCTTTACGGTGCCTCCCATTACGGAAGGCTGGATTGGCACATGATGATTGTAGCTACCGCTACCCTAATCCATTTGTGGCTGACAAATGCAAAGCATGCTAGGAGTGCAGTCTTTTCAAATGTCAGACGAAACATATTGAATGCCAGAAGCCATATGAACGATTCTTCCAGTAATTCTCGAACACTGCTCTTTTAATGCAAATCAATACGCACACGTGCATCTGCCCCTCCGGCCTTATCCAGCCTACCACCATGTGTTCTCAGTGTGCACACGGAGGCTTGTCAAGAGCACGGGGGACGGTAGCTACAGTGGAGATCTGCCTGGGCTGCTCTCAATCCAACTCCATCATCACTCCGCTCCACCACCACGCCTCCTCTCTCTCACTGCTTTGCCTCTGCTCCCCTTGGCCTCCCTCCATCTACCACCCACACTGCACCGCACCCCCTCATCCCCTCGTCCCCTCATCGCCTCAACCCCTCATCCCCTCATCGCAGCCCACCCTGCCCGCCACCACGCCCCCTCCCCTTCTTTTTGCCGCCTCCCTTCCGCGCCCCCACACCCCTCTGTACGCCCGCTCCCCCCACACCCCCCTGTACGCCCGCTCCCCCCACACCCCCCGCCACAAGGTGTTTGTCGGCGCGCCACTGCCCCGCCACCTTGAGCGCCCTGGGGTCCACAAACCCCATCACCGCCTAGCGCCACCACGGCCCCTCCCGTTGCGCTTGCCGCCTCCCTTCCGTGCCCCCACACCCCCCTGCACGCCCACTCCCCCCACACCTCCCGCCACAAGATGCTTGTGGGCGCGCCACTGCCCGGGCACCTTGAGCGCCGTGGGGTCCACAAACCCCAGCGCTGCAAGTGATCGCTGCCGCCGCCCAAACAGCACCCCGTGCCGAAAGCTCTGCGCGGCGCGCATGATGGCCCGCGCTGCCTCCTCGCCCTCCGGCGCCGGCGCGCCTGCCTGGATGACTATGGCCCCGTCCGACCTGCGTGGTAGCCACGACACGACACGGGGGAGTAGGTTGATGTGAGGAAGAGCGAGGGGTTGGAACAATGCAGCAGGTGCCTTTGCTTGAACCAGTGCAGTGGTGTCGTGAGGGCAGTTTTCGAGGGATGGTGAGGGCGCAGGTGGGGGCAGAATGCTGACTGAGACTTTGGGAAGAAGAGGAGCAGTGATTGGCATGGAGGTGGGAGAGCAAGCTGAGCAGCTGAGATGAAGCGAAACGGGGAGGGTGAGGACCGTGGGTGTGGGGATTAGGAAGAGTGCTGTGAGGACAAGTACACGACCTTACCACTCTGGCCGTGGCACTGCTACCCTGCCGCAGCACCCACCGCATGCCGCAGCACCCACCGTGTGCCGATGACAGCTGATGTGTGGCTGTCCTTGCCCCTGCTGCCGCCCCGCCCTGCCCGCTGCTTTTTCTCCCTCACGGCTGACTGTGACCTCTCCTCCTGCGCTTCTGTGAACCTGCGGTTGGGGGAACGGGTTTGGGTGGGGACAGCAAGGCGGGGAAAAGGCAGAATGGGGTGGGGTGGGCACTAGCACAAACGACTGGGATTCATCTCGGCTCTCTCTCACCCAACCCAAAACAGTTCAACTCACTACATTCTGATTCTTCCCCCAAGCATCCCTATGCTGTGCGCGCACCTGGTGTGCTGGCGCCGTGTGACGGCAGCAATCACGTCCGCGGGAAGAAAGTCGCCCCCCTCCACCGCGCCCCCCTCCACCGCGCCCCCTTCCACCGCGCCCCCCTCCACCGCGCCCTCCCCCTCCTCCTCGCCCGCACCCGCACCTCTCACCGTCCCCTCCTCCCGAGCACCGCCCCTCGCCTCTGCGGGTACCAGCGACCCCGCCGCCTCGTCTCCCCCCTCCGCCGCGCCCTTTCGCCGCGTGCGCCTCTCCGCGCGTCCCTCCAGCTCGCGCCTGCGCTTCGCCTTCCTCTCCGCCTCCTTGCCCCGCCGCTCCTCGCCCTCTCCCTCTTCCTCTCCCTCCCCCTCCTCTCCCTTCGCTACCAAGCCTGCTCGCTTTTGCCGAACCTTTCTGTCAGCCTTGGCGACCCTGCGCGGTGGGGCGGCGTGTAGAGGATCGGAATGAGCGACGCAATAGAGCGGGTCACAGCGGCGGAGGGGAAGAGCTCGAAGGGAAGATGCAGTTGCAAGCAACCAGTGGGGGCATGCCACGTCACCCCCCAATGCGGCGTGCACTCACATGCGGCGGGCTTCCGCCTCCTGTTGGCGCTGCTGCGACACCCGCTCGCGTCCCTGGTAGGGGGGGGAGAGAGGAGCGGCACATCGAGGGTTTCGGGTTTGGGAATTTTACGCAGTGATGCGCAAATCAGTTCAGAAGCAGTGGCGCGAAGAGACGGCGATGGTGGGCGGGCACCTGCGACAGAGTGAACTCCTCGGGCGCATCGTCCGAATCGTTATCGTCATCCTCGTTATCGTCTTCTCCCGCCATTTCTCCCATTACAACACCGACTTCAATCGCAGCCGCCCGTTCATGCCCCAACTCGTCATCGCTCTCCTCATCCCCTGAACCCCTATTTTCCTCCGCCCCCTCCTCCTGCGCCCTTGGCTCCTCGTCCTCGTCGTTACTCTCTCTTCGAGCCGCTTGATCGCGATCTGCCTCGTCGGCTGCATACTCGAGTCGCCCCATCACCAACCGACGAGGGCTCGAGTGCCGCTGCCTCTTCGCGCTCCCGATAAAAGAGGGCGAAGGTTCGCGCTGTTACTAGAAGTGGCGATCCGCGCGTTCGCTGTGTGTGGGCTCTGGATAGCGGCGCCTAAAACGGCGAGCGTAAATGTTTTCCTATTTGGCCTTGCGTTGCTGGTGCGCGACACGTTTCCTAGGTATAGAATGAGCATATCAGTCACACGGCTGTTTCAGGTCAGGCTGCTGTGCCTCATACTGGTGCTGCTGGGTCCACTTCCTACCTTCTCTGTAACCCTCTAGAATACGGCTCGGTAAGACGAGAAGCATTCAGATCAGACCCTTGTAGTGATTGTTGAATATATATATCTCAGTGGTTGGAAAAGAGGAGAAGTATATACGCACTTTGAACGACACAACACTCCATGGTTATTGTTTTGATTCACATTGGCAGGGTTGGAAGCGGTGGAAAAAACAGCCCTACAAATACAAACTTGTCGCGGTAGGTGTAATAACACAATGCCAAGCCATGCTCGTGTAAGAGCTGCAATTTGAAATGTGCCTAGCTTGTTTCACGCCCCACACGGTTCGACCTACAGAGGGGTCTCGACTCGATCGAGCCTGCTGCTGGGATTTGGCACGGCTCGTGATGAGCAAGTGGAGGAAATGGGAAAAGTAACTCTGGCAGCACGCCACAAGCCAGCTTGGTTCAAACACCTGTTCAGGCATCCTGCCCTAAGTGCCTTCCCCTCCCCACCGTATCCAGCAGAAGGACAGGGGGAGGGATGGAAAGGGAAGAAAGGGGAGCACAAGGACAGGGACGAGGGGAGACAAAGGGAGAGGAGAAGAGGGGGAGGAGAGGATCAGAGGAAATGTAGGGAGGCAGAGCAGAGCAGTAACGGGTAGGAGATAAAAAGGGGTGAGAGAAGGACCTGCACCGAGGAAACAATGGGAGCCAATCTGAGTGTCAGCTCAAGATACCACATGACACAGTTTAACATCTACTAGTCAGGAGTTTGATGATAAATGCAATGTAGACACTGCACTCCGCTCTGTATCGCTGCTGTCACTACCGCTGCTGCGGCTACTGCAGATGCCACCAACCAACATACACCGCTAGTGGTCTTGCCTGATTCACTGCACTCATCCACCACTACTTCCCGCAGCCCGGGCAGCTCAAGCAGCGACCTGTCAAAACATATGCATATCATTATCTAGGCTATATTGGGGATAGCCTTAGGGGGTACAGAAACTTTCTCGACACTCTAGTCTTGTACCCAAACCTTGACCTAATCTCATCATCATTGCCTTAGTTCTTAACATGGTAACTAGAGCAGGAGGTCTCTAGGACCTAAGAATCGGGCCCACCTAACTGCCTGCCTTGCCTACTGCCCGCGCGCGCCTCGGCTGCAGCGCGCGTCACTTTTTTTTCGCGTGCGCCTCGACTGCTAGCGCGCGCGTCACTGTTTTTAGCGCGCGCCACTGCTGTAGCGCCGCGCGCCGACCCGCGTCGCCCGCGCAGCCCGCGTAGAGCCCGCGCAGCCTGCCGCCGCGCACAGCCCGCCGTCGCGTGCAGCCCGCCGTCGCCCCGCGCGCCGCGTCTGTCGCCAGCGCAGCCCGCCGCTGCGCCGCGCGTCGCGTCGGCCGCCTGCGCGGCCCGCTGCTGCTTAGCGCGCTGCCTTAGGAGCTCGCGTGCGGCCGCTCCTGCCTGCTGCCTGCTGCCTGCTGTCTCCTGCCTGCTGCCTGCTGTCTCCTGCCTGCTGCCTGCTGCCTCTGTCTTTGCTTGTGGCCTGGTGCCTGCTGCCTCTTGTCTGCTGCCCGCTGCGTCCTGCCTCTGCCTGCTGCCATTATGACGACACCTAACGTTCTCGCGTTCGAGCCTGACGGTCGCCCCATAGAGTTCGCTGTGTGGCTAGATGATCTCCAACTGTTCCTTCTGACCGATGCCAAAGAGGGCGTTTCACTGTTCGATTACGTGTCTGGCACTGCCGTTGCTCCTGCTGCCGATGCCCCTGCTCTCGAACGCTCGCAGTGGCAGACTCGCGATGCTGCTGCACGCCTAGCTATTAGGAACCATCTGCCGATTACTGAGCGCGCGCATTTCAGCCAGCACAAAACTGCTAAGACGCTGTACGACGCTGTACTTGCGCGCTACTCCTCCCCGGCCACTGCAGCCATAGGTCGGCTCATGCTACCCTACCTGTTCCCCGACCTTCCTCGTTCACCACTGCTGAGGACCTCATTTCCCACCTGCGCGCTACTGACACTCGCTTTCGTGCCGCCCTTTCAGCCGAGTTCTGCGCCGCAACCCCCCCCCCCCCCCGATGTACTTCACTCTCTATTTCCTCGTCACCTGCCTCCCTGACACTCTTAGCTCAGTCAGGGACCACTTCCTCGCGCTAGACTCCCCCACTCTCACTGTCGACGACTTCGAGAAGCACCTCCTCGCAGCAGAGAAGAACATCCTCGCTGTAGGTGCTGCTCGTGGCACTCCTCGCTCTCCCCTCTTTGAGGGGTGCTCCCCCTCCCCTCTCACCCCCTCCTATGCCTCCACAGCTGCTGCTCACGGCTACCTTGGTGCTGAGGAGGTCGGGGCTGCTTCCGCTCCTAGTGGGAAGCGTCGCAGCGGCAGGGGCGGCAAGGGTGGCAGGGGAGGTGGGGGTGGCGGGGGAGGTGGCGGTGGTGCAGGCGGCGGGGGAGGTGGAGGTGGTGGGGGTGGTCGTGGGGGTGGAGGTGGTGGAGGTGGTGGTGGGGGCGGCGGAGGCACTGGGAGCGGTAGAGGTGGTAGCAGCGGCGGTGGGGGAGGAGGGAGCGGCGGTGGGGGAGGAGGAAGCGGTGGTGGCAGTGGTGGTCAGGGCCAGCAGCAGTCGCAGCTGCAGCAGCAGCAGCAGCAGCAGCGTCAGCGCCAGACCCCACTTCCCAGCAGCTTCTTGACTGGTATTCCGGGCGTGGGGCTTCTAGGGGTCCTGGTCGCTGCCCCTATATCATTCGCACAGGTCCCCGCACTGGTCGCCAGTGCACAGGGTTTCACACTGAGCAGCGCTGCTTCGCTCGGCTTAGCGACGCCTGGCGCGCCAAGTTTCCTGATGCTCCTGAGTTCCCCAACTGGGCAGAACTGCTTAGGCGTGATGTACCTATCTTTGATCTTGACTATGAGGCTATGTATACATTGTCTGTTAGTGCTGAGGGTGACTGCTACTTGTGTGTGCCGCCGGATCCTGGTATAGTCCCTGGTATAGCGCCTGCAGCACTAGGTGCTTGTGAGTCTGCTCCTCTTGGTACTGCGCCTGCACAGGCCTTGAACACTTTTACACTTGACTCTGGTGCTTCCTGCTGTTTCTTTCGCGACAGTACCATAGTTACTCCCCTCCCTGCACCTGTTCCTGTCTCACTGGCTGACCCCTCTGGGGGCCCAGTGCTTGCACAGTCTTCCACCGTGCTTCCGTGTCCGGCGGTCACGTCTGGTGAGCTGTCTGGTCTCCACCTCCCCTCGTTCTCTACGAACTTGGTGAGCAACGCTGTCCTCCAGGATGCGGGGGTTGACACCTTCACCCCTGGCCGGCAGCGTGTGGCGATTTGCACGTGCTCCCAGACTGGCCGCCACCTGGCCACATTCACTTGTGCGCCAGGGTCCAGTCTGTACACCCTCACCACTACGTCGCGCTCCGCCCCTTTGTCTCCCCAGTTATACGCGTCTGCTCAGGTAGCTACCCAGTGTGAGTGCCGCCGGCTGTCGCACGACACTCTCCTGTGGCACCACCGCCTTGGTCACCCCTCCCTGCCTCGCCTGCGTAGCATGCACTCTCGCTTCCTGGACTCTGGTCTTCCCAGGTCTCTGCCTGCCCTCCCTCCCTCGCCTGCGCCGCCCTGCATTCCTTGTGTCGAGGGGCGGCAGCGCGCCGCTCCTCACTCCTCCTCGTTCCCTCCCACAGAGGCTCCCCTGCAGACTCTCCACCTAGACGTGTGGGGCCCAGCCCGCATCCGTGGACAGGGCCACGAGCGGTACTTCCTGCTGGTTGTCGACGACTACACGCGTTACACCACGGTCTTTCCCTTGCAGCGCAAGGGGGATGTCCCTGATGTTTTGATCCCCTGGATCCGCGCTGCTCGTCTCCAGCTCCGCGAGCGATTCCAGTCGGACTTTCCTGTCCTGCGTCTGCACTCTGACAGAGGTGGTGAGTTCTCCTCAGACCTCTTGGCGGCCTTCTGTGCGGAGCAAGGCATCCGCCAGACGTTCACGCTTCCGGCCTCTCCGCAGCAGAATGGGGTTGCTGAGCGCCGCATTGGCTTGGTCATGGAGGTCGCTCGTACCTCCATGATCCATGCGGCTGCCCCCCATTTTCTGTGGCCGTTTGCGGTTCGGTACGCCGCGCATCAGCTCAACCTCTGGCCCCATGTCTCCTTGCCGGAGACCTCGCCCACACTGCTGTGGACGGGGAAGGTTGGCGACGCGTCGCGTTTCCGGGTCTGGGGTGCTCGTGCCTTTGTCCGTGATACCACTGCGGACAAACTCTCCCCTCGCGCCATTCCTTGCGTCTTCCTTGGCTTTGTCCCTGACGCGCCTGGCTGGCAGTTTTACGACCCCGCCTCGCGCCGTGTCTTTGCGTCTCAGGACGTCACCTTTGACGAGTCGGTCCCCTTTTACCGCCTCTTCCCCTACCGCACTGCTCCTCCCCCCCTCCCGCCGCTCTTTCTCGCCCGAGGTCCTCCCCAGGTAGACCCCCTCCCAGCGCCAGGCCCTGCTCCTTCAGGTGTTTCTCAGGTAGACCCTCCCGTCCCTGCGCTTGTTGAGGTCACTGGTGACTCCGGTTCTGCTGGGAGTGGTGCTGTCCCTGGGGGTGCGGAGCGTGGGGGTGCGCAGCGTGGGGGTGCTGAGTCTGGGGGTGCTGAGCGTGAGGAGCCTGAGGGTGCGGAGCCTGGAGGTGCTGAGCCTGCGCGTGAGGAGCCTGGAGGTCCTGAGCCTGGGGGTGCTGCGTCTGGGGGTGCTGCGCCTGGGGGTGCAGCGT